CTAGCGGATCAGCGGCCTCCTGGTGGAGGAGGGGGGGTGGTGGGCCTTCCTCGGGTTGACTACCACATCGTAGGCTACGGGGACTTAACATGGATTTAGGAGAGGGGCTAGGACTACTGGATATCCTTGGACAGCGTCGCCAGGTCTTTCAGGGTACCAACAACGTGCGGAAGGGTGGAAGGACTCAATTTTATCAATCTTTGTCAGGTTTGTTCTAGTAATATTGAAGAATTGTCGGAACCCACAAAGCTACTTTACGGCTAAGTAACTCGATCGGGCATATTTCATTAAATAAGTTTTTTCGAAACTTTTTCAATCAAAAAATGCTGGATTTTTCTTAAGTACTCTTCACTTTTTACAGCTCATCATTATCAAGAATGAATAAAAATAAATTATATTTTCATTTTAAGAAGCTCTCTACTTAGGATTTGGCAGCAGTATGTTTATTGTTTTTCGATAAAAAATCTAACGACACAATTTACATACTCGCATTGATGATCTTATTCTTATTCTTATTCTTGTGTGACCAAGGATAGTTGGAGGAATATTATTACACTGTTTTCCTTCGCCAAAAATGATATGCATGATATGCTTGACAATGTATTCCGATGCGCTGAATTGAATGGTGAAGTCGTATCCAAACTTTGGTGCGTTTTTCATGGATAAAAAAAATTTTTTTGATGAAAAAATGAAACAAAATAAGTTTAGCTTGCATAAATCGAAAGAGGATGATTTTTTAACTTAAAAACACTATTCACAAGTCTAAAATGAATATAGAATAAGTACAAAATTAGAGCATGAAATGTCAAGAAAAAACTCGGGGCCTTGACAGCGGCTTGCCCTTAGCTCGGCTATAACCTCGACAGCGCTCAGCTGTTTGGAGCCCCGGATCGAAAAAATCATGAATGAATGAATATCACTCGCGTGTACAACTAAGGTATGTTATTCGAAGATGAAAAGATACCGATTCGTCAACCGCCAGGTCGTCGTCCTATGTTGACCCTTTTACCTTGAACTTGGTCAAATGATAAAACATAAAAAATTTTGAAAGATTTCTGTCGGCATTGCGAGTTCGGCAACGTGTGTTTTCCGGTAACCCGGCGAATCCGTATACTCGGATCACTTTATTTTTCATTTCTGAACATGACTGAATGAACATATCGTATTTTTCTCGTTTACAATTAAATTCTATCTTTGAATAACATCCCTTTGTTGAACACGCGAGTGATATTCATTCATTCATGATTTTTTCGATCCGGGGCTCCAAACAGCTGAGCGCTGTCGAGGTTATAGCCGAGCTAAGGGCAAGCCGCTGTCAAGGCCCCGAGTTTTTTCTTGACATTTCATGCTCTAATTTTGTACTTATTCTCTATTCATTTTAGACTTGTGAATAGTGTTTTTAAGTTAAAAAATCATCCTCTTTCGATTTATGCAAGCTAAACTTATTTTGTTTCATTTTTTCATCAAAAAAATTTTTTTTATCCATGAAAAACGCACCAAAGTTTGGATACGACTTCACCATTCAATTCAGCGCATCGGAAAACATTGTCAAGCATATCATGCATGTATTTTTTGGCGAGGGAAAACAGTGTAATAATATTCCTCCAACTATCCTTGGTCACACTTTTAATATTTCTGTCCAAATAAAAAGAAAAACTACATCTTAATAATCAATACATAATCGTATGAAAATCAATGTAAAATGGAGTTTAAATAATAATGTTTTGTAAATAACATTGAAATAAAATTGAAACACAAATTAATTGAATTAACTGCAATTCATTTTTATTCAATTCAGTTACTTTGTTTTAGAAATATTCCACAATTTTACAGAATGTTGGAATACTTTACAATCTGGAATAGTGTTTCACAAATATCATAGTTACAGAGTTCCCAGTGTATAGCGAAACTTTCCCAGAGTTCCAATTTAGATCGTTGTGAAAATGATCAATAAATCTTTTGGGAAGTCCCATCGATTTTTGCGAGCAATCAAAATCGAAATAGTTCTTGAAAGACAAACTGTCCACAATATGTTCGGAAGTCAATCGGACCACATTATACACGGTCATTACATTCTCTTGTTGGTCAACGCTGCAGATCTCAGGAAGTATTGTTATATTTTCCGCTATTTGGTGCTATCAGAACACAAAATCCACAAAGATTACGCATGCGACACGTGCGAGAAGAAATTTGGACAAAAATCAAGTTTATTTGAGCACATTAAAACTGTTCACAAAAGTCGCAAAAATTACGCATGCGATAAATGCCAGAAGAAATTTGGGAATTTGAGCAATTTGAGAAAGCGCCAGATTTCAATTCACGAGGGTCGCAACGATTTCGCATGGGACAAGTGTGTGAAAAAATTTGGGCATAAACAACAATTGCTCGGACACCAAAAGGCCGTTCATGAAGGTCAGAAAGATTTTCACAATGCGACAAGTGCGGGAAAAAATTTGACGTAAAGAGTATTTACTTCTCCACCAAAAAAACAGTCCACGAAAGTCGTAAAGATTACGCATGCGATAATTGTGAGAAGAAATTTGGACAAAAAGTGCATTTGCTGAAACACAAAAAAATAGTTCATGAATGATTTTGCACGTGAAGAGTGTGGACGCATGATTTTTTCTCGTAACCGTAAATCCATGTGCAATTGCATTAAATTTCACTCCAAATGATAATTCAGTCTTTGTGAATAATTTTTACCTTATTCAAATTTCAATTCTTCGAAATCGATGCCGTAATATGATTGGAATAAACCCTCAGAAAATATCGAAATATTGAAAAACGCCGGTTTTTTCTTAACAATTGTAACTGTACATTGTAATTGTATATAGAAACTTATACAGATGTTTAAGTACAATTTTAATAAAATTACAATAAAAATGTACCATAATAATTGAGTCTATCTTCATAATAACTATCATTACCTTTTTTTTACTGTTGTAGTTGAAGCTTTATTTTTCATCTAGAAGTCTGCCAATTATTAATATTCGCGCATTTTTCGACTCATGCAACGATCAGCCGAAAATTCTATTCACGTCTCGTTTAAATCGCATTTTCTGAAATTTACTGCTGACTGTTTCTCTACAAGGATCTATGGCAACCCTAGTTTCATTTTTTTTATTAGAGCATTTTTATAGTAAAATTTTTCAAAGTTATAAACAAGAAGCTTAAAATTTTTACTTTTTGAAAGGCTTCTGTATCCCTGTATATTTCAGAATCTATGTTTAAATAAAAAAATAATAGGAAATTTGGGACACTGCAAATTTTTTTGAAAATTATGCATTCTAATTATCCAAATTCTTAAATTTAAAATTAATTTTATCCAAAAAAATGTTGTATTAATTGATATAGAATTACTGCAAAAAAATAAAGTTTTTCTAATCTATCCATTGCAATAATGATTTGATATTGTCTCAAAATTAAATTATAGAACTATCCAATACAATTTTAAAATATTATTAACTGCTGGTGAAATCGATGTTATACTTCCAAACTTTTCATAAATACAAATGAATTTGATTTTTCGTTATTGTTTGGAATATTTCAAGTGGTAGAAATGATAAAATCCATCAAATTTTAAATCAATACTATTTACTTAAGAAAATTTTATATTTACATATTATAATAAATATATTCTGGAAAATATTCATGTCTATTCATTGAAGTATATATGTTCTTCTAATAATTGTTATAATTAAATAATTCAGAATGTTTGTAGAAAGATAAGAGTTCTATAAAATTGTTTTTATCATGTTGTGTGAAGAGAACACAGTTTCATGGAAACCAATACATCTTTTTAGACCTGCTTTTCATTTCCTTGATCTTTAATTCTTATGATCCTCTGAAAAAAGAAATAAAATATTGATATTATAGATAATTATTTTGATTATCGAATAAGCATATTGTTAAATGGTAAAAGATTATCTGAATGAATTCAATTGATAGAGCAGGAAATGCCAGATTAGTGAAGAATATATTATTAAGTCTTGAAACGAGAGTAAAACATTTTAACTTTACTTACACAATGATATTGTTGATGGGAATGTGAATGAGTTTGACAAAGAAACCAATGAAGCCCATTATGCAGAAGCCGATAGCAGTGGCAATGGCAATTTTCTGGAATTCCTTGCGATCGGGCTTGGTGCACCTCTTGACAAGACGAATGCTGTCTTTGGAGAACTGTTTGCCAGGCTCGAGGAATTTCTTGATCTGATCCATGTTTACTGGTTGCTTTTTATTTCCTATCATGAAACATATTTTGACATTAATAACATAACCTATAGAATCGGGCTCTTGAATTAAAATATTAAATTCTGAACACGACAAAAAGCGATACGAATTCCGCGTGCACAGGTAAAATCATGGATTTCATCGTTTTGTCGTTTCGGAAAAACCGACATATGTAAAAACGGCCAAGATACACGGAGCATCAGCATCGCGATCGCGAATCATATGGTACAACCAAAGTTGATAACCACCTTCGTTCCGACGAAGTTTCGCGGATTTCTCTTCTGTTTACGCTATCACGGACGAAATGCACAAAGTTTGAAACACCCCGAGTGAATAATTGTTAACGAGTACGCGAAAATATGAATGCTTACTTGTATGGGAAACAAGGCGTTGTGACTCTCTGTGGCAGAGTACAGTTAATTCACGACTACTGCCTGCTGCTGCTGCCGAAGACGCGAACAATACACGATTTCATCACACATATACACGCAGCAGAGCCACACACTTGCTCATACGAAAACGGCAGACGACGCGCGCTCCGCGATTCGCGATAGGTCGAAAATCGGAGTCGTGCGGTGTGACGTGTCTACGGGGGCCAATTGTTGCTTTCTCTGTCTCGAGCACGACGAGAATATAATATTATCACGGCGTGGGCCATTCCTCGATTTTTTTGACTACGTCGACGCGATCGGCGATCGGCCGTTCACGATAAATTGCACGAATTCTCGTTATTAAAATGCATTTTACACCTCGGTCGAAACAAGTGCAGAGACTGACGCGTCCATGAATTGAATGTTCGATATTATATAACAAACATCAAAGTGTAAACTCGGCGGCGGAATAATAATTTAATTACCGCGCGGTCGTTATTTGGAAAATTTTGCTGTTTCGTCTCGCCACGAGATAAATTTCCCGCATCTGCCATTGCTCAATTCCCGAAGTTTGTATAATATACATATGAACATTATTGCTCGTAAAAAAGCGAATATATAAACGCACACAGCTGGTTGAAACTTAAGTAATGATCGCGGCCGCGCGCGTAACGTCGCGCCGCGTGCATAATGAGGTATACCTATATATATAGCAGTGCCAGTGCCTGTCAGAATGTGTGTTTGTGTGCGTGTTTATGCCTCGCGCCCACCGCTTGCATTCGCGCGTCGTCGCATCATCGTGCGCCAGAGGCGTAAATACATCATTCATACATAGGTGTATACGGCATATACACACTTATAGTTTTACCTGCGTGTATATGGTCATATTTAGACGTGTGTAGCGTGTGTGTACATTATAAAATCTCTGGCAGCGGTATATAGAGTATAGACACAACAACACGCACAGGTCGCGGTGTGTTATAAACGCGAGCGCAGAGAGTGAGAGAGAGAGAGACGGAGAGAGATCCGACCAATCGCCAGCCTCAGTGCTCCGTGCTCGTCGGCGGAAAGTGCCACAAGTACCAAATATAACCGCAAAAACTTTTATTATTATTATCGTCGTGTGTATACCTAGCTTACTTACTCTCCGTACACGGACACGTCTCGGAGCCGTCCTTTTTTAGTGTGATATCATTCATTATTATTGTTGTTGTTGCTGCTGTATATCGGCAAGTGTGAAAAGGTGGTGGAAACAAATGAAATTATTTTAATAATACACCAGCAGCGTCCAAAAGAAGATAAATCGTAGGAAACCTGTTGATAATTGTTGTTAAATGTTCTAATTTTACACCTCCGTTCGTCGTTGACAATATATATATATACCTACAAAGAGTGCCAAGGCAATAAAGAGAAAGAGATAGATATTTATAGAGAGGGATCGCATCGAGAGTGATTTTTTTTGTCTGAATCACGCGTCGTGCAGGCAGCAGCTTCAAGTGCATTTTGTATACACACACATACGTACTGTTACACAAAGCTTGCAGCGCAGGCATAGAGCGGCATAATATACCACGACTGCACGAAGCAGAAATGTATTCCTATGTATAAGTGAGTCATCCAAGCTTCGTGAGAGAGGAGCAGAACCGAGTTCTGTGTACACCTATATATATATACGAGGAAGAGCTGCTGCTGCTGCTGCTGCTGTGCTGTGCTGTGCCGAGTAGAGAGAGAGAGAGACTCGAATTGCGACTTTCAATCCGTCACATCACATCCGAGTAAAGAGTGCCCGTGTGTGCGTGGGCTTTTCTGCCGATCGCAGTGTCTGTTTGTGTGTGTGTGTGTGCGTGTATCTATATAATACTCGTGCGTGAAGTACACCAACACGACAACGAGCTACTGCTGATTCTCGCATAAATACTATCGCACACATGCGAGAGAGAGAGATTATCGTGTTATCATCCAAATGACGAGTATGCATCATCGTTTGTTAACGTGAAATATTTACCACGCGTATACCTACACACGCATGTCTGTAAAACGCCACACACGCATATACTTTAGTTTATAGCGGTGTGTGTTGTACGTCCGTATGTATAAGTACACAGTACGCCTGTACTGCTGTACTCTGGCTCTGCTACACACACACAAGCATCTACTTGACACGTTCATCAGCGATCGTCATCCGGCCGGCTCGCTCGCTCATTATATTGTATACACATCTCGCTGCACGCACATACATACACGATATTAGTGCAGTCACTTATCTCCTATCTCTGTCTCTCTGTATACGTGTATACTTTTTTTTATTATGTATTTCTGCTACTTCACTACTGAACCAACACATGTATGTTGAGGCAGCTACCTACTGTTTCATGTATGTTTGCTCTCTGCAGCATGCAACAGGCTGCTGCTGCTGCTGCTGCTCCTCTCTGATCAGTTCCATGATGCCTTTGTGGCAAGCACGTACTCCTGATCACAATTCTAGGCACTTAAGTTAGTTTTCGTTGTGCATAGTTTATAGATTACCTGCGCGCATTGCTCAGCCATTGTTAAGTTTGTTTGTTGCATTAAGTTTCTCCTGACACGAAATGCCAATTGCAGCTCTAGCTGCTCGCATCGTCATTAGTGCTCCTGTTGAGAGTTTAGAAGCCCATCGATCATTTTGTATCACTTCATGTACTTTATTTGACATAAATACATCATTATGGCAGCTAACTTGACCATTGAACAAGAACAAGTGAGTTTATTTATCCTTTTGCTCTTAATCAATATTGCTTCTTACCCATCGATGATTGACTGACAGAACACAATTGACTCTTGTATGGTATCGATTTACAGGCGACCAAGGAATTTCTTGAGATTATCAACAAACGCAGAATAGCTTGCAGTCCGGTGTCTTGGGGCACGGCTGTAAAATTTTTATCAGCTAGAAAATTTGAAGTCCAAAGGGCAGTAGCTCTGTACGAACAGCACGAAATAACCAGGAAGAGAGAAGGTTTATCACAGATGCAGCCCACCAAGGAACCTCTGAAGAGCGAACTGCAAACTGGCAAATTCACAGTTCTGGTAAGCTTGACGCTTCATCCAACTATCAGAAAAGCAAGAATAATTTTTTTTCAATTGTAAAATTCTGCATAAAATTTTCAGCCAACCAGAGACAGCAGCGGTGCAGCGATAGCAATTTTCACGGCGCACCTGCACCTACCGCACCAGACGACACATCAAACGACTCTCCAGGTAAACAAAACAAAAAAAAAAAAACAAAAAGATAAAAAGAATAGCACACAAACCATACGAGGCATGCTCCATCCATCTATTGCACACGGACACACGTGTGTGATAGCAGAGATGTGACTTGTTGAATGGCCCCCCGAATAAATAACTCAAATGTATATATATGTGGGCGCGCTTGCACACGTTACAGGGGGTCGTTTACCAGCTGGACGCGGCGTTGGAGAGCAAGGAGACGCAGAAGCACGGCCTCGTCTTTATTTACGACATGTCGGACTCCAAGTTCCAGAACTTCGACTTCGATTTATCGCAAAAAATTCTAACGCTTCTCAAAGTAAGTTGTTGTTCCTTGGCAAGCTGTATATAGGTACAGTAGAGACAGAGCGTTACAAATGCAGCTGCAGCAGCAGCGACGACAACGACGACAACGGGGTAGCGATAGAAAGCAAAGCAACAACAAAAAAAAACCCCTCGCAGCTATAACACAGTACATATAGGGGTGGCAGGGCGCAGGCGCGCAATTTTATCGATCGGCGGCCTGCTGCTGCTGGCAGTGCGCTCTGCAGCCGTCGTCGTCGGTGGTAGTGGTGGTGGTGCACTATATGCACATACGAATCGCGGAATCGTCATAGAGCGCGCCGCGCTGCACACCGTGTGCGCATAATATCACTGTATAGACGTGTAATGTGTATCGCCTACTATCTGTTCTCTCTCTCTCTCTCTGTTCTGCATTAAGTTTTCGGGCCGAGAGCTTTAGTGCGGCGGCAGCGCGACACACGTCCGGTTAAGTTCGCTATCCCCGGTGTCGATGATCTTTTGATGTTGCCGTCGTCGTCGTTGTTGTTGTTGTTTACCCTTCTGCTGTGATCCTGTGCAGGGGTGTGTGCGTGCGTGTCGCCTCCCCCCGTTTGTGCTCTTTTATATTTATTTATTTATTGATATCATCGTTATCGTACGTAATAGGGTGGCTATCCGGCGAGGCTCAAGAAGGTGCTGATCGTGACGGCGCCGCTCTGGTTCAAGGCGCCCTTCAAGATCCTGCGTCTGTTCGTGCGCGAAAAGCTGCGCGAGCGCGTCTTCACGGTCTCGATACCGCAGCTGAGGCTGCACGTGCCGCGCGAGTCGCTGCCGCTGAGGCTCGGCGGCAGTTTGGAGCTGAGCCATGAGACCTGGCTCGTGCAGTGCCTCGAGGCCGCCATGACGGCCGGCAGACAGCAGCAGCAGCAGCAGACCAACGACGGCTCGGTGGCGGACACCACCACGACCAACAGTAATAGTAGCAGCAGCAGCAGCAGCAGCAGCAGCAGTGGCAACGGTACCAACGCCTCCGTCGCGGCTGCCAACGGCTCGGCCAACGCCGTGGCTCCCGAGCAGCAGGACTGCGAGAGCAGCGGCGAGGGCAGCAGCGGCCCGGCCAGTCCGAGCCGTCCGCAGCAGCAGCAGCCCGAGGCAACGGCCAAGAAGAGCGAACAGTCGAAGGAGCATCATCCACCGCCGCCACCGGCCAGCGGCTCGGCCTCGTCGGGCTTCAGCGACGACGACAGTCTTCATGTAGCTCAAGTAGCGGACGTCGAGCAAGCGGCCGACGAGTCGGGCCTGCGACTCGTCAGCATGGAGCACCTGGTGGAGAGCGTGCGCGAGCGCGGCGTCGCGGCCCTCATGGCCGAGTACATGGAGATAAAGCAGCGGCCGCCCGACGGCACCTTCACCGCGGCCAAGCTCAAGGCCAATCTGCCCAAGAACCGCTACACGGACGTGCTCTGCTACGATCACAGCCGGGTCTGCCTCGAGCAGCTCGACCCCAACGACCCGAGCTGCGACTACATACACGCCAACTACGTGGACGGCTACAAGCAGAAGAACGCCTTCATCAGCACCCAGGGCCCGCTGCCCAAGACCATACCGGACTTCTGGCGCATGGTCTGGGAGCAGCAGAGCCTCGTCATCGTCATGACTACCAGGTGAGAGTCCGAGCCTCCTTTGCCCTTTGTTTACTTACCTATCGTCGTCCTCGTCGTCGTCCCTTATTTTACACGTTTGGTTTCTCTCGTCTCGCAGAGTCGTCGAGCGCGGCCGTAACAAGTGCGCCCAGTACTGGGGCCCGGAGATCGGCGACCAGGTGACCGCCGGCGGCTACAACGTCACGACCCTCGAGGTCGACCGCAGCAGCGAGTACACGATATCCAAGCTGCTGCTCACCAAGACCAAGACCGAGGAGACGCGCGAGATCTGCCACATGCTGTACACGGGCTGGCCGGATTACGGCGTGCCGCGCTCGGCCAAGGCCCTGCTGCAGTTCCTCGGCCTGGTGCGACAGCAGCAGAGCAATCTGCTCGCCAATCTGGGCGACGCCTGGGCCGGCCACCCGCGAGGACCGCCGATCGTCGTGCACTGCAGCGCAGGCATTGGAAGGACAGGTCGGTGTCCGTCCCGGAAGACCAGACTGTGACTACGTTCTGAACTAATGACGACTTTTTTTTATTACTCTCTCGAGCAGGTACCTTCTGCACCCTCGACATTTGCATATCCAGGCTCGAGGACACCGGCAGCGTCGACATTCGCGGCACCGTGGAAAAGATACGCTCCCAGCGGGCCTTCAGCATACAGATGCCCGATCAGTACGTTTTCTGTCACATGGCCCTGGCCGAGTACGCCCTGTCGCGGGGCATGCTCAGTCCCCAGCAGATAGCCATGCTACCACCCACCATCGAGGAGGATTCTGATTAGTGAGAGATACGTTCGTTTCTTTCTTCCTACGCGATTCGTTTTTCCTTTATCTCGTACTCTGAAAACATACTCTATCTTTCTCTCTTCTCTTTCTCTCTCGAAAACAATGTTGACATTCGTAAAAACTCAATCGTTGAATATCCCGCGCTCTTTTTTCTCTTCCTTTTTTGATAAACGACGTTTCTTCTGTATCGCCCATTCCTCATCGAGTCTAGCATTTTGTACTGGGAATTTTTCAATCGCTTTTCTACGCCGTGTGAACAATTCGTTTGATATATTTGCATGAACAGAATAAAAAAATGCCGGACTTTTGTCCGAAACTTTCAACTATTACGTTAGATCGTAGAGATATTGCGAATGAGCTGTTGTTGATGCAAGAGACAATTTTTATGGAAACAATTATTAAATAAGCAGATTTTAAATTCTATGACCAAAGATTATTATATATATAAAAAAAAAACGCATATTTCATTCAACTGTTGTTCCTAATGAACAGTTTAATATTTTGATAAAGATTTCTTGTACTGAACGAGGAAAAAAAAATCCGTTGTCTCAAACAGTAGGATCGATTTTTCATGTTTATTACTTACATTAAGATACAATTTTGAGAAGCTTACTGAATTACCGCCATTTTTTCAATATCACACTCATGTCTCATTAACATAATTATCCGATTAATCCTGTATGCAAGCTCGATTTATATAAATTTTTATCCTCGCTTGAGATTGTTTAAAGGGGGAGAAAAAAACCGTACGATAATAAACACTCGCATTCACGCTCTTCCTATCTGACTCATTAATTTTCATTCGTCGTCATATATAATTTCATTAAATCTTAAAATGTACAAGTCGAGAAGGGGTGTGCGCAATTTTCTCGAGTAAGTCAAGAAGGTCAATGCACTTTGTGCGCCGTCTAACACCTAGACCTGTTTTTTTTGCAACCGAAGAAAAAAAGTATCAGTGTGTAAAATTTTACTGGTCGAGTACACGCTAGCGCGATTGCCCTTTTCAAACATTTTTTTTTTTAATGATAACGGATGGCTTAAATTCATCAGTTTTTTTATAATACCAGTATTTAGTTTCTTAGAGTTTGGTAAATAAAAATTCCTGAGTTTTGGTAGTCTGTAGATACAAAAATTATATTACTTAGCATCGTATAATAAAGTTTGTAACGTTTCGATGGTTCAGTAGAAAAAGGTCAAAGAATTTTCCGTTTTGAATTTGATTAAACTAAGTACGAATCCGGCCAAAATTTAACGAATCATGTCGCAGACATAATTTTGTTCAATTGAGAGAAACAATGCGCGCTATTACCTATTTCATTTAACATGGTGTCGGGTTCCAATAATACGTTTTTCAATATTGCCGAATTTAAAAATTGAATTCAACCTAAATCTTAGTTTTAAGTAACATTAACTGTGGAATCTTGTTCTTTGATGTACGAGGAAAAAAAAATATTTGCGACTTTAATGTCGCGAATCTTATAAATATATATATGTATACATAATTCACAAATTGCATTAAATTTAAGAATTGTAAATATGATAAGCTGTTCGCATTTATTAGTCTTAGTTTTTAACAGAAATTTTGTTATAATAGTAGATTATTAAATTATAGAAATGATTTGTGTACAAACGAAATTTATGATTTCAAGTTTTGAATGATTTTATAAAATTTATAATTAAAGTACATTTTTCGCATCGAGCCTTCAATGAACTTAATACGTACGAATAAATATTATTTAAGATATTAACAATTTTGTAGCAAATTTGTGCGTTATTAATTTAACGTGTTTACACGATAATTCCGAAAAAGATCTATAAATATACAATTTAAAAATGGATGAATAACAATTTGTAGTACCTTTGCTGAAGCAGTAAAATTCAGTATAAAAACGTGGGAATTTTTTATCATCATTTTTTTGGTTGACTCTTGTAAAAGTTCCTGTGCTGCAAACAATAAATTATAAATTGCAGAAGTTTACATTTACTATATCTATGATGATATAGTGAATGTGAAACTTTAAATTTTAATGTTTTTGCTAAGGCGCCTGAACTGTTGTTGCTGATAATTCCTACAAAAAACTTGATTTATCCTCGTTTTGTAATGAAATGTGGGGAAAGGTGAACAAATATCAATGTATAAATGACTGGTTCAATAACTGTAATTCTGTAAAATGCTGCATATTGCAATACATGGATATTTTCTGTAACTTCATCTGCCTAAAGTCTGAAACTTTAAAAAAAATATAACAAATATGTAAATATGCAATTGAATATGTACCTGTTTACATATAAATGCATATTAGACAAGGATTATAAAATAAAAATTCGTCTATTGAACAGAGAGATGATTATAAAGAAATTGTAAATAAAAAATTAATATGATTATCATTCACTTGTATGCAATCATATATAAATGATGATTCAATATATCAAAAATAAATTGTTTTTATAAAAATGTGGTTGGTCTTTCAATTGTTACTTGAATAATAAAATAACCCACAAATAAAAGAATTATTAATTTTTAATGCTTCTGTCTCTCTTATATTACAGTTTACACTATCTTTTTCGAGTTATAAATAGCTTCAATGTACACAGATAAAACAATATTTACACGAATAGAGAGCGATGTACTCCACTGTTAGGGTGCACAATGCACTAATTAATAATCAACAAAAAAAAACAATAACAATAACTTTAATTTGCAGCAACGATGACAAATGAAAAAAAAACAAGCGATCATTTTCTTGTATCCAAAACGAAATGAGTTCTTTTTGTCTATACACGTGAATCATTCTTAGAATGAGTCCACTCGATCCCGCAGATACAAAAATAACATTCAACTTGTATTTTGTTTCTTTTTTTATTGTCCATCCTTTTTTTTTCAATACTTAGCCTAATCTGTTACTTTATGATTAATAATAAGAACATAAATTTTTACGAGACGAGTAACAAAAGTAATACAATCTACTGGAAAAATTCGTTATTTTTTCTTCTCTTGGTAAACAACAAACTCAATTTCTTCTTACGTAATACGAAAGAAAGAAATGAAAAAAAAACTCTATGCACGCGCGTCGAGGTAAAATTCGTAGAAACGAAATTATCGGGTGTGATAAAAAAAGAAAAAATTAAAAACAACAATGTAATCAATGATAACAACTCGCGAACGTGACGTTGAATAATACATCGCACATACACTTTTACAAAAATGCTCGCTTAGGTAATCGCCAGCGCGCTCATTCAGACTTCTATATATTATATTATTATTATTATTATTATGTTATAAAGCACAATGACATATACACAGCAGGCGCGTATTAAACGCGTGCACAGCATTATTGTATACATGGAACCTATCTATCTCTCTCTCTGGAGCCGTCGTCGTTCCAGATCAATTATTTATAATATGTATCACTTACATGTTTAGTCGTCAATATTATTTGTAAATATAGTAGTAGTAATAAGGCAATAAAATTTACAAAAGTTGAAAGTAGTCTCAACTCGTGTTTCAGCATTTTACGGTAATGCATATGAAGGCGGTTTTTGTTTTTTGTTTTTTTTTTGGAATATCACAATTATATCGCGCAAAAGTATAACTTTAAATATACAATATAGCACAATTCTCATCAACGAACATTTCGACGTAGAGATTCTCAAGCTGTCTCGACCGTTCCTCCGTTGAACTTGGCGGTGTACTGATTGAGAGCCTGCGAGAGAGAAAAAAAACAAACGAATTGATAATGATAAATCATCGCTCGTACACAACGGGGGCAACGATCGATCCAATTATATACACACGCACCTTGTAAATGAAGGCGTACTGCTGTCGGGTCTGCACGGCGCCGGCCCGATCCCTGCGTATCGTGTAGACGACGCGCGGCACGTCGACGGTGCGCGTCGACTCGTACTGCCTGATGGTCAGATCGAGGGCGATAAAGGTGCCGGTTCGCCCGGTGCCGGGGCTGCAGTGCACCACCATGGGCCCCGAGGCCTGGCGCTGCAGAGCCCTGGCCTCCAGCAGCAGCGCGATCAGGCTCGTCGAGTCCTGGGGCACGCCGTTGGTCGGCCACAGGTACCACAGATGATACACCTCGCGGAACGTGTTGTTCTCTAAATTCTGCGCAGCGCACGACAGCACAAATAACAATACATATATATCAATACGAGGTATGCGCGCTCGTTATCGGGGGGACTGCTTCGTCTCGGCTCGTTAAATTCATAGAATATAGAATGCGCGAGCGCGCATCGACTCACCTTCAAGTGCAAGGTCGACACGGCGTACTTGTCCTTGGGCTCGCGCTTCCTCAAGGTGACCTGAAAGTCGCCGAACAACCGATGGCAGTCGGTCACCTCCAGCGGCGGCACGTACTCGCTGCACTTGTCCGCGCCGTTCTCCACGATGTCCGTGAGCATGACGACGACGCGACACTGCTGCTCCCAGATCATGCGCCAGAAATCGGCCACCGTCCGGTCGGTCGGCGCCTGACAGGCGATGTAGTACTTGGGGGCGTTCTTCGGTCCGTGCACGTAGCTCGCGTTGATGTACTCCGTGAGCGGGTCGTTGTTCAGCCGCTGCAGGGCCACCCGCGTCTCGGGCAGCGGCACGACGTTGGCGTAGCGATTTTTCAGCTCGGCGCCCTCGGGCAGCTCGTCGATGTTGCACGAGACTTGGGGGATCTCGGCGAACTCCTCGTACACGGCCGTGGGATCCTTGCTGAATTGGGCCAGGCCGACTCCGTTCAGCGGGTGGCACGGCATGGCGCTCTAAATACGTAACAATAATAATAATAATTAAATGACAAAATAGAACATCTCTAAAAGTTAGCGATGATTCGAAACTCACGGAATCCTCGAAGGTGGGATTGCCGTAGCTGCGCTTGGAGCCACGGAAGGCCGACTTGCTGCGCCTCATGCTGCTGTTGTAGGCGGAAACGCTGTCGAGATTGTAGGCGTCCAGCGAGACCGGTCGGCAGCGCTCGCCGTAATTGAAGCGATTCCTGCGTTTCTTCATAACAAACTGTGCGGGAAGCAAAAAAAAAAAAACCCATTCGTATACACACGGCGTCGGTGTCAAACACGATCGCGGAAAGCAAAAGCAAAAGATATCATGGTATACTCACGACAATGCCGGCCAACAGTACGATCACCACGACGACGGCGCAGGATATTATGATAATGACTAGAGTGTTGCCTTCGTCGTGCTCGGCGCTGTTATCCTCGGCGCTCAGCTCGCCGCCGACGAGCTCGATGCTTTCGATCTGCGTTATTATTACACAAATGAATGAGTTTCAAATTTTATCACCACAACACGCGCATTGTGCATACCTTGACGGGAAACTCGAGCGACGACTGCTTGAACAGCTCGGGCAGAGATCTCATGAGTTCCCGGTCGAAGCTGCCGTCAGTGTCCAGCACGTAGAGCAGCACCGGGGTGAGGGTCGTCGACTCTGAGGCCGAGCGACGCGCCGCGGCCGCCAACGACTCCCCGGGACAGTCGACCTTGTAAAAGTGTATCTGATCGGTCGATATCCTTCTGAAAGAAAACCGTTGTAATTGCGTCGATTGTTCTTTTTGTTTCTTTACGAGCGTAGTAAAAAAAAAAAAAAATATATATAGGAGAGAGATGGACGGACGGGTTTCGGGAACAATGGGATCAGGTAGCGCACACACAGACAGACACAGGTAGCGTACGACAATTATCTAGAAAACGAGGTGAGAATTAGAGAGACACAGACAGAGAGGAAGTTCGAGCGATAAGCAGGTATATTTGTATATAGAGATACAATAAGAGGCCGGAAGACGTTACACTCACTTGCTACTGGCGCTGCTGCCGTTGACGAGATCGGCCAGCAGCCGCTTGAGGCCGGGCAGATTTTTGCACACGTCGGGCAGCTCGCCCTGAAAGACGATCTTGACGAGCATCGTCGCGTCCTCGGCGGGCACCGTAGTGGTAGTCGTCGTTGTGCTCGGCTTCTCAGTGGTGGTGGTCGTAGTCGTAGTTGTTGTCGTAGTAGTAGTAGTACTCGTACTAGTAGTGGTAGGCGTCTTGGTCGTGTAGAAATCGACATTATCCGGAATCGGCGGTATCGTTTCCGGTGGCGGAGCAGTTTTCTCCGTCGTTGACGTCGACGTTGTGGTGACGGTTGCGGTGGTGGCGGGGGTTTCGGTGATAGTAGTGGTGCTCGTGGTAGGCGTCACCGTATCTTCCTGGGTGAATTTTCGCATAGTTTTTGGCGTGGTCGTGGTTAAGACGACCACGAGAGGCTCCTCCGTGAACGTTACCTCGGGACTTTCCGACGTGGCGACTGTGGCGGGCTGTTCGGTCGTAGTGGTCAACGTGGTCGCTGCTGCTCTCCGCGTCGTCGTCGACTCCGTTTCTACGGTACTGATTATCGTCGGCTCTTCCTCGTCCATGGTCGACATCGAGGCCGTCGACGCAGTCGTCGTAGACGTACTGGGCTCCTGCGTCGGTATCGCGCTCGGCTCTGCTTTCGTTTCATCGTCCTCCTCCTCCAACGTCGTTTTCGTCATCGTCGTCGTTGTCGTTCTCAACGTCGAGGTCTCGGTGGTCGGCACTTCTGTCGTCGACAAAGCAGGTCGTCGAGTGGACATCGTCACCGATCTCAGCATCGTACCTGTCGTAGTCGTCGTCGTCGTCATCGTTTCGGGACGCTGCGTACTACTCGTCGTCGTGGATTCCGTCGTGAGGGTCGTCAAGGACTCCGTTGTGGGGGCTTCCTCTTCTCCTTGCGTCGACTCGGTTGCCTCCGTCTCCTCGGGTTGTTGGCTCGTTTCCTCCTCTTGATTTTCGATCGTCCCAGTGGTCGTCGTCTGTACATCCGACGGTTCCGTGGCTTCGGTCTCGGGTTCCTCGCTACCGCTCGTCGACGTCATCGTCGTCGAACTCGTACTCGTATCATCCGTACTCGTAGTGACAGTAGTGGTGCTGCTCATCGTCGTTGTCGTCGTTGGCGTAGGCGTCGTCACTTCGATTTCAAAATCGATCGTCATATTTTCAGCCGCAGCAGCAGCAGCAGCAGCCTGACGTTTGTCACCGCCGTGCAGTTTGGCCCCGAAGACGCTCTGGGCGTCCGGCGCCAGAGCCACCACCACCGGATCCTCCTCGTTCTTGTTCAGGCGATTCTGCTGCCCGCCGCGCTGGGCCGATAGATAACGATACTCTTTGGGCAACTGTTGCTGTTGCTGTTGTTGTTGTTGTGGCTGCTGTTGTTGCGCCGCAGCGGAACCGATGCTCACGAGCAGCAACAGAGTCGCGACACTCAGCCCTAAATAATCGCATTTATAATACGTTCAATGAGAATCCATCGAAGTTTAAAGTATATATATACTTTTCGAAAAATACTCACACGACAGCGACATGTTGCGGCTGCTACTGTTGGCTCGTCGTTTCTTTCGTCGATTGGCTACTTTGGACTTCCACTCGCGAGCGCCGAACTCCATGATCTGCGAGGCAAACGCAAAAATTTCATTCAACTCCTTAATTTACAAAATGTATTTCATATTTATTTATGTATACGCAACGCAACGCAGCGCAAAATACACACACGAAATTTCAAGAATTCCATTCACGCATTTCTCGAGCAGTGCTGGCTTTTGTTTGTTTCTTTTTTATTTGGCAATACAGCCGCGATGTGCAGTTTTTTCGTTGTTGTTGTCGTCGTTGTTTTTTTTTTGTTTCGACGAATTGCACGTTACGCACACGCGGCACGCATACCTCGCTTCGCGACACCCTACTTTTTACTCGATGCAATTTTCGCGAGCGAGAGTGCGAGTTTGACATCGCGTCGACGCTGCATAAATATCGATTCTCTCTCTCTCTCTCTCTCTCTCTCTCTCTCGTTGACGATGATCGACTGCGCGAATTTCGAATGAATTTATGTATATGTGTTGGCGAGCGCGCCTGCTAAGCCTAGAAAGTTAAATTACACCCAGCAGGCGTGTGTGTGCATTAAAAGCGTCGTGTGTTGCTCGTTGGTTCGTGTGCCTTTTAGATTCTTATCAGCTGTTGAAAAACTCGTCTGGGTCGATATTTCCACCTGCTTGTACGTGTGCAAAAATCCGCGCAACCCAATTTTACTGGTAGAAAACAAAAAGTGAAAAATCATCACGAATTCGTACGATATGCAAAATAGAAATAAAGTACGTTTGATATCGAGTACGCACTTTCTCCACTCGAAACTATTTTTATTGATATAGAGCATACATGGGTGTACCAGTTTACATTTCATTTATTTGTAATATCGGCTCGAGATATAGTCGCGCATCCTACATTCGCACACACATACGCGTGAAAAAAATGGAACCGTGTGCTGCACTTTTTATAATGCAGATGTGCGCGCCAGTTGGCGTCTGTCTCAAAGTCTCGAGTGAAAAGCGACATCAATTGCAATTTTGTTTTTTCTCCTTTCGTATATATATGCTTTTATTAGAGCAGTGAAAATAACATAACGACGTAGGTACATTACACACACGCACACATTCACATTTTATACTTTATCTGGGATAGATAATCATTATAAACATAAACGACGATCGAGAGTTATTATCTTAATAACGCTTAACCCGATTTTAACGACTCGCGATATATGAGCGTTATAATAAAATAAATAATGGTCATGGCGCAGTTGGCGTCTCTGCACGCGACACGCGTGTGTTACATTTTATAATAATACAAAAATCGTTTTTCTAAAAGGGTTTCGGCTTATATATAGAGAGACACGCGCGTGAAATCGCGCAATACATAAGTAGCGACCTTCCGAATTATCGAAACTAATCACGCGCGGCAATAGTCGTGTCGATTCGCGCACATACCTCGACGAGCACGCATGGCACAACGCGCATCTCTCTTTTTTTTTTTATTTATATATCTTTCAACGATGCTTCAGTAGGTAAGTAGGTCGGTGTGCCGATCGCGAACGAATACACACACACGCGCACATCTGTTGCAAATCGTTTATTTAATATTATTATTATATGCATAAAAAATAAGGTATACACGTTCTACGTATGTTCCACTAAACGGAGAATCATTATTGCTCATCCTCTCGCGCGGCGGCTCTCGTAATTTTCAAGCACACGTGTACTTACTTATGTGCTCGCGGACGGACTCGAGTTGCACTCGTACATCTCATGCACGATGGTATATATATACGCTCAATTAGCGATGAGGCACACGTTATAGTAATCAGCAGCAGCAGCGCATCGCGCGTTTATTCAACAACAGAGAAGAACAGAACAGAAACTCGAGCCTCTCGTCGACGACACGAGTTGGTAATTCGATTTATTATTCGCGAGGGGAGTTTGACACCTACACACACACACATTTATACTCGCGCGAAAATGACTAAGGATGAATCACAATATAATACGAGCAACAAGAACAGCAGCAGCGGCGGCGGCGGTGCGACACGCTCGAGAAAAGAAGATTTTTGCGTAACGAGACAATGAAAACAACGACGACGACGGTTCCGACTAACACACCGATACACATATACACAGCACCGGAGCAAATCGTCTTTCTCTCTCTCTCTTTGTTATAATATATACCGTTGTAATGTGCCGCTGCTTCTTTCTCTCCAGCCGCCAAACGTACACACAACAACACAGACAATGTGTGCGGCTTCTCGCGCTCGCGCGCGGCTTGCGTAAAGCCGCTACCACCTATACATCCAGTCGTCGTCGTCGTCGCACTTCTTTGCCAGGGTCACTCGTTCGCGCGCGCGCGCGCCAGTGAGTTAGTTGCTACTATATACTATAACACCGCGAGAGAGAGAGACTCGAGAGGCTTATATGCATGCCCCGACTTCCGCGTGTCGACTATACGACGACGTAAGTTTCGAAAACTACGTCATCGCGTCGTCCATCCGTAATATGCAACGTAATAATATCGCGTGTGTGTGTGTGTATGTGTTTGCATAGAGACACATGTATACACGCGTGTGTTTCGCACGCACCTACGTACACACACATCATAGCCGTCGTAATAATGTAAAGTAGTCAATGGCTACTATCTTACGTACGCACATGGGAGTACACTCGCTTACTTTACTATTTATTCCTCGATGATAATTGCCACGAGGAAAAGAGAGAGAAAAACGAGGAGTGTATAATGAATGAAAAAATAGCACAGACACTCGATGCAGAAAAAAACGAGGAAGCGACAAAATTCTATTTTCTTTCTTTTATTTTTTTCGAAACTTTCGTTTTCGTCCATACATATATACGCGCCGCGAAGGGGGACTACGCGCAGTTATCTTACCGATTTCGTTCCGCTACCGCGAGGAGATCCGCGAAGCGCGGCGCGCACACGATGAGTCATGTGTACGCGCGCAGGTATAAGTAAAGGTACAGAGCTACGCGACGTGCATTAGCGCGAGGAGGCCCGCGAGTTAAGTGTGCGGTGGTAGTGAACTTTCCCACACGTAAACACCAACGCACACACATATATACGGACAATAATTCGCCGATCTTTTGCGAAAAACTCTCACTGACGTTTCTAAACACACACTCGAACGCTGTCTATGTATATACGATGCAATAATAATGCAACACACGGAGAACGAACCATAAGCGCTCGCGCCTTTTAACTTTGTATCGTATTGCAACATCGATTCTCTCTCTCTCTTAATCTGTCTATACGTTTGTCTGCATTTAATACCTATATGTATAATACGTTCCATATCCTTATAGGAGAGGCGCGCGCGCGAGCGAGGCAATGAGTCAAAAGTTATTGTTTTATTCATCGCGCGGCGCACGCGGGCAATTATTGTTGCATTAAAAAAACCGCGCCGACACGGCGGCTAATCATCGCCACCGCGACGCAGACACAATGTTGTTCTTATTTTTTCGTATAATATGCGCGTTTACAATTTGCCCATACATAGAGAGGCGTAGAGGATACATTTTATACGCATTTCATTCGAATACGTATAGAGCTAGAAACGTCGTGGAAAAACAACGAGAAGATTATTGTTATCATCATTGTTGTCTTATTAGTCGAGGAGCCCCCGGACACGAGCATTACATTCGATTAGGTAGTAGTAGTTTATTGTTCGAATTAAATAGACGGAGCTTATTATCTCGATTGCGCGGCATAGTGGCAGCGCTCGACTTTATAATAGTTTGATTTTAACTATAAAGTAAGCAAGTGTGTACGTATACGGTGGCAAACTCCAGTCTCGGCTCTGGTCTCGTGTCTATTAAGTGTTTGCGATAATAAAGCCACACGCCGTATATAATACACATCGAAGGCTGTACTGTGCTTTGGCTCCGCAATACAGCACTAATACAGCGCTCATTACTACTACTACAGCTGACGATATTACTTTTAAGCCGCGAGTACGGACAGCGCGAGCGAGAGAGAGAACCTCGAGATAATACGACGGCCAAGGTAGTGGTATTGAAAAAAAAAAACAGCAATACTGCAAAGCCAGGCAGCCTTATCGGTAATCGCGGCGGCGGTGCCGCAAGAAGCCAGAGTCGTAAATGTCTTTTTCATTATTAATTTTTTTTTTTCGAAAAAAAAACTGAACGGCAATCAAAGCGTAAACAAGGCGATTCGTTCCATGCGCGCAGAGTCCGAGATTCATCGTACGTCGTAAAACTTACCGATATGGTTATTTTTTACACGCGTTGTGTACATACCTGCTGCTCGTGTGACGGACGCGTTGTCGAGGATCTGCTACTGCTGCTGCTTCGGATGTCACTACGAGTGGCGATAGCAGCAGCATGTCAACTCGCGGGGGTGTTTGGTTTATTTCGCACACCACCTATACACGACTGTGACTCGCGACTCGCGCTGCTCCGTATGTGTATTAAAGGTCGTTATTGTGTAGGCAATTATATATACCAGTACTGCAACAACAAAGGGAAGGCGGCGAACAACGACTCGTGCATCATGGCCTTGATGCCTCGCCGCGACGACGACGACGACGCTCTTACTTTACTCGCGCTTTATAGTACACACACACAAGCGTTCGTTGTTATAGCTGCAGGTCATCCATATATAGCTGCTTAAAACTCTCTAAGCCTTTTCTTTTATTTCAACGATTTCCTCCTCTCGTTTGCCTTTGTTTTTTTCCGCGCGCGCGCGCAAAAAAAAAAAAAAAAAAATAATACAGAGGCTCTGTGTCAGGAGCTGCTGTTGTTGCTACTGCTACTGCTACAAACGCACATGGACACCGACACACACTCACTGCACGGTTCGTTGCACGTACGATAGAGAGACACCACTATATTGCAAGTATCAATGCACCACGACTACTAGGCTACGATAAACTGACAGTCCCGCACTCGGCAACGGGTCTTTGGCTCTCGGTTCGCGACTTTGTGATATGGCACACGTACATACACGACGATTTATATATCGTACACACGCAGCGTATATCGTGTGAGAGAGACAACGACGATGCCGACGATTTTCTCGCCACACTTCGCAATCCGTCGAATGTATATGTATGTATATATCGTCGCTATACTCACTACTGCTTTGCTGCTGCTGTCGCTGTTGCTACCATGGTGACACCAGTAGTGTTACATGTATGTATGTGCTGTTGGCGGGGGGTTTTGGCATTTATCGGGATATTATAGGTATATAGCACTGTCCGATTTCGACGCATGCACTGCACACAGCACGACGACAGTCACATCACAGGCTCGAATCGAACGATAACGACGCACACGCGTGTGCGTGCGTGCGTACTAGATGTTTTATTGATTTTAAATAATATATATATAAAACAGGTGGTTATCGACTCGATCTTTAGAAACGCACGCTGCTTTCGACGACTCGCGCAGCGCGCAGCGACTCACGGACTATAAAGTGTGTATACAACACACAACGAGGAGATTTTAGAAAGGAGCTACCGCCGCCGCCGCTGCTTCTCGTGCCGCCGATGCGAGCGCGAAACCAACTCCGTGTTGCTGCTGCTGCATGCCTATGTATATACGCGAGCATAATCGTGCTGCGATACGTATAGTAATAGCTTATGGTATATGGGTACTCTTTTCTCTTTCTCGACGCTGCTGCTGCTGCTCAGACGACGACGACGACGACGATTGTAATATAATGTTGTGCGCGCCTCCGACACTATACACAACAACGCGAGAGGAGGAGGAGGAGGCAGCATAAGTAGGTGGAAATCCAGCGGTAGGTAGTAGGGGGGGATCCTCTACACCTACGTCGTGATGTATATATGCGGAATTTTTTGTATAGTATATATATATCAGAGACTGGGACGCCGCGCCAGACGCCGTATAGTGTAGCGCTCGAACGAACCAACTGCCGCCGCTGCGGAGAGAAACAAGAGATCGGCATCGACGAGCTCTACGATTATCGCGCCGACGACGACGACGACGACGACGACGAAAAATCTATATCCCGCGATCCGTATATGATTGAGCGGAAAATTCGTCAAGGCTATACGGATCGGTATTTGCTTTCTTAATTCTGCCTTTTTCTATACGTATGTAAATTCGTATACGAGCTTTGATGTGCTTTTGAAGTACGAAGCTTTATAAATAAATACGATGAATTATTCATCGCGATCCGTATTATAATCGCGCGCGATTATTAGCAGACAGACAGACAGAGAGAGACGCCCCATTTTTGCCATACGATACATCGATGAATAAATATTTTTGCGACGCGTTTTTTTTTCACGAATGTAATGTGTGTCTCGTTTCGATCTGTCTATATATAAAATAATAATAAACGGATCGAGGCTAATTTTAGAAGCTGATTCGATTATCGAGCCGCGCTAGAGCGAGCTCAATTAACGATAGTCGCTTTGACGCTTTGTTTCGTATGGTTTTCAACCGATCTTGTTCCCTGGTGCATTGGGCGTATCTGTATAGCACGAACAGTAGCGAGTTGTGGAGAGCACGCCAATCACGCAATGGCGTAGAGGTAGAAAATTTTCAAACGAATATTAAAATTTTTTAAGATATTACTCTGTGTCAAAGGGAATTTTTTTTTGAAGTATTATTTGGAAATAATTATGGAAAGCCCAAAATTCCTCTAAAAAATCGTTGCCACGTTTGAATTTTAATATATTTATCGTAAAATCAAATTAATTCAAATATTGTCTTTCTCGATGAAACACGCCATTTGATAACAAAAGATAAAATTTACTCGTTCAATTTACGTGGAACAAATCGAAGGATCCAACGTTTATTTTGAGCACTAAAATGAATAAAAGTGAAAAGAAATCCGACGAAATTGTCTCACGAGATAATTCGAGTGAACTCGAGATTGTCGTTTCGGACGACAAAAAATATATTTGTGTTATTTGTCAGAAGTCATTTCCACTAGGATCGAGCATGATAACACATCGAGACACAATTACGACGCATGCGACAAATGCAATAAAAAATTTGAATTTCAAGGTCACTGGAGTAGACACCAAATATCAGAACACAAAAGCCACAAAGATTTTGCGGGCGATGAGTGTGACAAAAAATTTGTGCAAAAATTAAGTTTGTTTGCGCATCAAAAATGAGTACACACAGATCGCGAAGATTATTCGTGCAACAAGTACGAGAGAAAATTTGAAAAGAAATCAACTTTACTTAGACACAAAAAAAATATTCCACGAAGTATTCAAAAATTACTTATGTGAAATTTGTGCCAAGAGATTTGATAATAAGCATAGTTTGCTCCTGCACATAAAGAAAATACACAATGGGCACAAAGATTTCACCTGTGATGAGTGCGAGAAAAAAATTTGGAATAGAATCGATTTTGTTAAATCACTAAAGGACAATACACCAATGTCGGAAGTATACTCATGCGACAAATGTGATGAAAAATTTGGGGATAAAAGAAATTTGACAAGACACCAAGAGTCAGTTCATGAAGGTCGCAAAGATTATGCATGTGACAGGTGCGAAAAAAAATTGGGGATAAAGGACAGTTGAATGAACACCAAAAAACAGTTCATGAAGGTCGGAGAAATTACTTATGCGATAATTGTGAGAAGAAATTTGGAATTAAATCAGATTTGTTTCAGCACTAAAAGACAGTATACGAAGATCGGAAAGATTTCGTATGTGATTAGTGTGACAAGAAATTTGGACACAAATAGCATTTGCTCATTCATCAAAAGACAGTCCATAAAGGTCACAGAGATTACGCATGTGACCATTGCGATAAAAAATTTGGAGAAAAATCGACATTGTTGACACATTGTTGTACTTGTTGACACTGATGTCGAATTTATTTCGGAATGCTGATAAATGTGGACTCAGTGATTCTAAATGCGGGTAATATTTTGTACTTAGTACCAGATATTCAGATAATTAATACATTCGAAAATTTCTGTGATGTGAATAACTTCGTGATTCATGATAAGTGTATTATTTTATCAATGAAATGTGCATATCTTTATCACGTTCTATTTAAACAATACGTTTATTTGAATGTCTGTCAGTACACTAAATACTTATAATATATTTGTGGGCATTATTCATTAAATTTAAACGATTAAGAGAAAAAAAAATGTACAGAAAACAAAAAGAGAAAAAAAAAATTTCATATAAATAAAGAAATAAGTACATGTTTTTCGACGCTTACACATTTCTGTTGCTTACATATCACTATTTAATCCATGTCTATGTGAATATCATACCGCATTTTATTTTTTACCATTGTGTATTCTATCGATGTGGGGTTTAAGGTTGGTTTTTTGTAAAAACGACTTTTCACATTGATTGCATGGATGACATATACCTTAATGCACGGAGGCTTTGTGCCTTTTAAGATTACTTTTTAAGGAAAATACTTTTCTGCATAAATCGCATGGGTGAGTTATACCATTATGCACCGAATCTTCGTGTCGTTTGAGACTCCTCTTAAATCTGAATACTTTTCTGCATAAATTGCATGGATAAGTTATACCATTATGCACCGAATCTTCGTGTAGTTTGAGACCCAGTTTTGATGTAAATACTTTTCTGCATAAATTGCATGAGGGAGTTATACCTTGATGAACGGCATCTTTGTGAACTTTGAGAATGCTCTTCCGTGTAAATACTTTTCTGCATAAATTGCATGGATAAGTTATACCATTATGCACCGAATCTTCGTGTAGTTTGAGACCCAGTTTTGATGCAAATACTTTTCTGCATAAATTGCATGAGTGAGTTATACCTTGATGAACGGCATCTTTGTGTAATTTGAGACCGGTTTTTGATACAAATACTTTTTCACACAAATCGCATGGGTGAGCTATATCTTTATGTACATTGTTAATATGAAAAGTGAGACGAAATTTGTAGTTGAATGATTTTTCACACTGGTCACATTTGAAAAGTTTTCCATTACTCATGTGCTTTATATTGATGTGGACTCTTAGATGACCCTTCTGTGTGAATATTTTTTTACATAAATCACATGTATATGTTATACCATTATGCACCGTACTTATATGAAGATTGAGACCTCCTTTGGAACTAAATTCCTTTGGGCATCTATCACACTTATGATGATTGATATTTTGGTGCACAAAATCGATGTGGTTCATGAGACTTGACTTACGTTTGAATGTCTTTCCACATGAGTCACATGTGTGAATAATACTTCTGCGTGCCTTATCAATATGTTTTTTCAGAGCAACTTTTTGTCGCAATCCCTTTCCACCTGTACCAAGATTGTCAGATTTCTCAACATTATGCACTGAATCGTATTGATTTATGAGGTAATCATCTTTTTGTGCGAGTTTGGTCTTCTGTGTGAATTTTTTTCCACGCATGTCACACGATTGAGTAATGTGATCGTACGACGTATCCTGATGCACTTTACGATTACTGTTCTTTTCCAACTTTTTTGAACATGTCTCAAGCTTTTCAGATTCTTCGTTGTTATGTACTAAATTTACAGGCGGTATTATTTCGTTTTCTCCGTTGGTTTCGTAGTCATTATTTGAATTTAATTTTTCTATATTATTATCCAAATATTCTTTTTTCACCATATGTAATCGCTCATCCTTAATCGTAGCACGAGTTGCTTCGCCAATTTCAGAATCTTGCAACTGATTTTGAGACAAACAGTCTAATTTTTGCGGTGCAAACGAAGTTATGGTAGGTTCTACATTTTTACATTCAAACACTATTTCAGTCTCATTATTCAATTGAGCATTACAAATTTCATCTTTTTGTAGAAGCGTTTGAGCCTGAAAGAAATTGAAAGTCATTCACACATTTTCGGCTATAATTTAATCGCAAACGTATAATAAACTTACGGCATATTCTTGCAGGAGTGGGATATATTGTGAATTATCAGAGTCGGGTTTCTGTATATTAATTCTACATTCTTCATTTTCATAAAGTGATTTATCAAAATGAGCGACATATCCAGGCTTGTTATTGCTGCTGACTCTCTTTAATGTTACTCTCGGTATTTGTTCATCATTTCCTAAAAAAATAATTAACTATATTAAATAACTTGTTTTCAAAGCTATTTCACTATCAATGAATGTTTTACTCACCATCATTTTTCGGCCCAAGATGCCGATTTATTTTTTTCGGAATATTTTGGTCCTTGCTGGAAAATTTATTATTTTCATCACATCGGTGATTTGCTCTAGTTTTTGACCTACAAACTGTAGTTTCCTGATTTGGAGTATCTTCTAGAATCGCGAGAAGTTTCATCAAGCTCCCGGCAATGTTAAAAAGGGATTTCCGCAGTTCAGATTTATTGGCCGATCTTAATTAAAATAAAAATACCTAATTAATAGAAAATACACTATACATTTATAATTTTCAAATTATCTAATTGAAACTCGTATACATACTTTGCATTCAAAAATTTTAAGAGCATTTCTCGTACTTTTTGGTTCTCTTCCAATTCCTCGCGCGAAAGAAATCTTCCATCTTGGTCAACTTCTTCTTCATCTCCGTGTATACAATTTTCCGTAATTTCGGTCTCATTGTTTTGAAATGGTCGGCTTTCCATCGTTTAAAATCTAAAGAATACCAATGCTGATAATAGTAGAGGAAGTTTTAAACTTGCTAACAAAAATTTATGGCTCGATAACTAGAATAAAATTAGATATGAAGTTGTTTTTAAATGTTTTTTTATAAGATACCGACCACACTTTTTTACCTTTCACTAATTTACAATACTCTAATTATTTATGAAAACAAAAAACTTCTAACCATTAATGTATGACCATTTCATTAGAATTTCGTAGAATCTTGCTACTAAAAATTGTCAGGCTCACTATAGAAAAGCAATGATATTTGACTAGGTCTAGTATGGGACGGACCCTCGAAAATAATGCGCGAATCTCAGAGGCACTAAAATAATATGAATTTCACACTTTTGACTTACTTGTAGGGAGATTGACCGGAGACTGAATCGTATACATGAATTGCTGTTCAATAAGTCGGTGAGTCGCGGCGTCTCGGGCACACTTCGTTTGTTTACACTTGTGATATGCGCTTCGCTTGATCACACGGCGTAACGTCTTTCTTTGAACAAATCGTCGGATGATGTCAACGTCTATCTCTCTATATTAGCAAACTAATCAAATTTGGACCTTATAACCGGTCAGACTACACGAGCAGAGAATATAATCTGTGCAATGACAAAATCTTATTGTGTGTTCGGGCTGCGACTGGGTCGGGGCTTTGGGCTCGACTGCTGCCGACGAATTCGCTCGTTCGTTTCTGCAGCGGCGAGTCAAGAGCACGCGTCGACTGCTCAGTTACTTTTGCGTACTCAGGCGCTGTCTGTGTTGCCTCGCAGTCAAAAACTAACGCAAACTCAACGTATACGCCTCGCACTTTTTTAGCTTTGCGCACATGTTTTTAGTGTTGAAATGGAATACGTATTTATTCACGCACTACTTGTTGACACTGATGTTGTACTGATGTTGATGTTGTTACAATTTGTACTTAGTACCAGATATTTTGATAATTAATACATTTGAAATGTTCTGCGATCTAAAAAACTTCGTGATTCATGATAAGTGTATTATTTTATCAATAAAATGTGCATATCTCTATCACGTTCTATTGAAATGATGCGTTTATTTAAATGTCTGTCAGTACACTCAATACATATAATATTTTTGTTTGCATACAATATTATTGTTTTTTAAATTGTTTAGGATTCAAATAAAGGCCCGTGATGAAATCGGTCTTACATCGAATTTATATAAAAAACAATTTTTATGTGTTGCTCCCATGTGCAGCTTGAATTCCATGTAAATATTAAGGAGGTACCTCCGTCGAAGAATTACAAAACAGAATCAAACCAAATTATGCTAACATGCTCATTTTTATAATAGGAATGCACTGTTAAAATTTGGTGTAATTTCACTACTTAGTTTAATAGGTATGAGTAAAACATTTTAACATTGTTTCTGATGCAAATGGCGATAATTTTGGCATATCTCATAATTTACAAAACGGATTTGTGTGAAACTTTTTGAGCCCTTCAATGAACTATCACAGTACCTCGTATTAAAGTTTTATAAACTTTCACTACACGAGTACTGAGCAATTAATTGAAAACTATATATGAATGAACATTCTAGTGATATTCAGTGCAAATCTCGGGCGTCAGTAAACGAGCGACATAACCTGCATACAAAAGCTAATCAATGTAGTATGCGAAATTGCTAACAACGAGCAGACGCGCCTGCCTAGAGACTTTTTTAGTTAGGTTAGTTCTAGTTATTTCTATCATACGAGTGACTACGAAAACTTGACTAGAGTAGTAGTCGGAGGTACCTCCTTAAAAATTTTATGCGTGCTTAATGTCTATGTGAATATCATACCGCATTTTATTTTTTACCATTGTGTATTCTATCGATGTGGAGTTTAAGGTAGGTTTTTTGTAAAAACGACTTTTCACATTGATTGCATGGATAAGTGATACCATTATGTACGGAATCTTTGTGTTCTTTGAGAATGCTCTTCCGTGTAAATACTTTTCTGCATAAATCGCATGGGTGAGTTATACCATTATGCACAAAATCTTTGTGACAGTTGAGACCCCTTTCTGATATAAATACTTTTCTGCATAAATTGCATGGATAAGTTTGTGACGGGAAATATATCACATATATTCCCCGACACAACGATACCTTCGATGCTCGTCTGGCTCGAGAGATCGCGACTAATGTACACACATTCACACATACACATAGACAAGAGGCTGGCCAGCGATAATTTAAGTACACAAACACACTAACTATCTCTCGAGCCATATCGGTATCCGCGTAGTAAAATCATATCGTAGTTAATCGGATTCTTTTGCCATCGACATGAACTCGCGTCTCCGAGATTATATTCGTTGAGTCTGCATGCTCTACATGCAGTGGCGCCCCGAGCACACTTTGTAATTATTAACTCAATTTAATTTCTTTATGCAATATATTTTACAATATTACTTAAACGTTAATCCTTTGTCTTATAATTTGTTAACCTCGCCCAATTTATCCTCACAAGTTATACCATTATGCACCGAATCTTTGTGTAATTTGAGGTTACTTTTTTTGGAAAATACTTTTTTGCACGCATCGCATGGGTAAGATATGCCTTTATGCATGGAATTTTTGTGATAGTAGAGACCCATTTTTGATGTAAATACTTTTTCACACAAATCGCATCGGTGAACTATACCTTTATGTACTGATATAAATTAAGATTTGACCTCTGCAGTTGTCACTCTCCGGAGAATTGTAAATATAGTTATGTTAGTATTAAGTTGCGCCGCTAGAGGGCGAGGTCGAAACCCGCAATAAAGAAAGATGAGTTGTAGGCTGATATAGAGGTGTAATTCCATTATGCTATGGATTTCGAGTTTAGACTTCTGTGTAGTGTCAACACTAGTGTCAACTTGGAACTAATCAAAATACGAGTAGCATCATCAGACAAATTATACATTCTCATTAACAGTCTAACCTGTCTTTCCCAACTCTCATAATTGTCGCTATTACCGTCAAATGTACTTAACAATTCACCGATAGAATTAACAATTTTCAATGTATCAATATTTTGAAAATTTCGGGGACGAATATCTTCTTGCGGCAAAGTTCCTCTTGAATGTTGGGGGTTACCTGAAGCTTGAAAGCGATCGTGTTCTTGATCGATGGTGTTCAGCACAACCAGGTTGCCGTGTTCCGATGATCGGGTTGAAGCTGCGTGGCTGGTGTTTGTATTCGCTCTCAAGTCCGAAACACTCTGTTGCGACCCGCTTTGATCAATACCTCGGGCAAGCAGCAAATTGAACTGTTGTCGCAATTCATTGAGTTCTTTGGACATAGCATCTCGCTCGGTGGTTAAGCGCTGACAATCTTGCCGGGCCTGCTTCAAAGAAGGATTGTTGTTTTCGCAAAACTCCATAGTCCAGGCTCCATCGGGATCGAGTTCTTTTAAGCGTAGAATTAGGTCAGCTTTATTCCCAGCCGATTGTTGATTATTTTGTCGTAGAATTTCACGTAATTCGGTGACTGTTAAATCAGACGGCTCGGCCATTTTAGGTTATTTTGATTTCAATTATTGCAATTAAATATGCAATAGAGTATGCACAAAGCAAAAAAATTTAAGATTAACGTTTTCTAATTTTCACAAAGTTTCAAAGAAAATTACGTCGACTCTATCCCACTTCTGATATTTGTAGCAATAATGATACGAGAAGACGTGTTAATCCGTTAATAGTTTTTCTCAATCTGAACTTTATTTTATCAATCAACATTAACATAGCAACGCAAAACAACTGAATACAGAAATAGGAACGCATGTATATAAGTATTTTCCTACATCTGTATGAATTTCTTTCCACAAATTTGACACGAGTGGGTAATGTGATCGTACGAAGTATCCTGATGCACTTTACTATTAGTGTTCTTTTCCAACTTTTTTGAACATGTCTCAAGCTTTTCAGATTCTTCGTTGTCATGTACTAAATTTACAGGCGGTAAAAGAATACGAATAAAAAATTAGAAAAAAAGTTTTCCTATCTGTTTCGTGTGAGATACCGAACACATTTTTTACCATTTACGAATTTACAATACTCCATTTATTTATGAAAGCACAAAACTTGTAATCATTAATGATTGGCAATTAGATTTAAATTAATTTCGCTACAACGTAAAATAAATTTTGAATACATTAATTCTTACAATTTCCAAAAATAGTGAGGGTAATCAGAAAAGCAACGATGGTTTGATGGAAGTCAGTGGATTGGCGGTGTCCCGAGCACACTTCGTTTGTTTACGCGTAAAAGACTACTGAGTGACACTGTATGTGAGATTCAGCGTTGTCACACAGGCGACTGCACGAGTCAGCTGTTTGTTATACTTTATTCATTGATATGACATTGCCAACCTTTTAATACAAGTAATTAGAATTAATTTGTCAGTTTTGGACGTTCTTAATAAAAAAATTCTTTTAGCTCGCTTTTAAAAATCACCCTTAATGTTAAAAAAGCAAGCATTTTTCTCGAGTAAAAAACTCGTTCAATTCACAATAATTGTTTTTTTTAACACGTTGATAAATGTGGACCCAGTGATCATATGCGAATGATAATTTTTAGATGAAACTAGATTTATGAGAAAAAACTGTGTAATTTCCACATTTTTTGTACCTAAATATGTGGAACATAAATATATTGACAAAAATACACAATAACACAAATTTTAAATAAATCAATAAGCTACGGGCAGGGTAAATAAATGTCTACATATGGTCATCCTGTATTTATATGCAGTACAATGAAATTTGATTTACATTCTTGATTTATAGAGTTAAACATTGATCGAATTGTTAATCAGCATATCAAACTGGATCTTTGGAAAGGATTAAAATACTAAATTAAATCATTTGTGCTATTATTTTTTATGGTATAACACTTGCTAAGAAGTACAAAGACATTAAAAGATAATTAGAGTAACATTTAAATTGTGCGCATAACGATTTCTGTTTTTTTACCAAAGTTTCATT